GCTGACAGGTCGGAAGTGGGAGGAATCTGGTCCCTGGGGACTCCCCAAGCACTGTCCCCTGGACCTCCTACCTCCCACCGCGGGGCGTCTCCATTACACGAAGCTAAATGCATTTCTAACGGACACTTTGACAAATGAAATCAAATAGCCCCTGAATTATATTTGGCAAATATAATTGAATAAGCAAGTGCTTGAAAGACATGTGTGCTTATCAAATCAGATATACTTGGAGCCCTCCTGGTACCTAGCAGGCACATGACACAATGAATTTCTTTGCCACCTTCCTGTGTCAGACAGGGGGTTGGGGCGGTGGGATGGAGAGGAAACATCCTTGGGACCACGGCCAGGATGGGTGAAAGGAGGTGAAAGCAGGTGAGCTGGGAGCCTGCCTGCTGACAAGCCGGCCCCTTCCCGCGCGGCGTGGTGGCAGCCGGGGCACACAGGGAGGCTGTCTGCCGCTCGGGGCCAGGCCAGGCGCTGACAGAGGGAATTGGTTTAAGGGCCCGTCTTCCTGGTTCTTGGCTGAAGACTGCTACCAGTTCAGTTGGCCAAGATGAAAGAGTAAAAGGAATGTCATGAGGTTTTCAAAACCTGCGCCTTTGGCACCAAATTTGTTTTTTTAAGGGTCTAAAAGATTTTTTAAGGTCTAAAAGATTAGGACAGGTTTTGGCTTGGGGTGAAAAATTGGAAGGAAGGTGGATAAACGAACAAACAAAAATCAACCCACTAAAACCTAATGACTCCGGGACCACCTACATAGCTGTGGGGTTTGTTTGTGTGTTTTTTTCTTTTATAGAATGAAGTTGCCATGACTTGAGGATCCAGAATTCAATAGCTCCGTGTCCCCCCTTCCCTGGGTTCCCAGGCTCTTCTGGGCAGGACTGATGAGGGAAAGCCTTAAAGTCAATCTAGTCCAAGATTCTTCTACCTTCTGCTTGTATCCTTCCAGAGACGGGAAGCTCACTCCCTATTCACAGGAGCCATTTCATCTTTGGACAGTTCTGTCAATTATAGTGTTAGTGGCGGGAAAAGGCACCAGGTGTTAACCTCCTTTCTGGCACCTCAGTTCTCGAGTTCTGGCTAAGAGAAGAATTCAGAGCCAAGACACAAATTATAAGAGAAAGTTTATTTAGAAAGTCACAGAGGTAGGGGGGTGGGGCAGGCTGGAAGGGGTCAAGGAGGGAAATGGGGGGCCATATGTAATACGTTCAACAATAAAGAATTATTTTTAAAAAAAGAAGAAGAGAGAAAAGAAAGTCACAGAGTTAGAAGAAGTAGCTGTAGAAGAAATGGGCTCAGGAAACAAGTCATCGCAAAAGAAGGGCCTTTGGAGCTTAGCGAGGAGAGAAAGAGAGAGAGAGAGAGAGAGAGAGAGAGAGAGAGAGAGAGAGAGAGAGAGAGAAAGCCCTGCTGGGTCCTGTCCTGAGGGCTTCTATCTGAGGTCTCAGGGGGAGGATCTCAATAGAATATTCATCAGCTTTCCAGGTGTGTCGCCTCAGCATGTGCTTTCTACTGATTGGTGGGCACCAGGGGAGGGGCTCATTAGTCCATGCGGCTGGTCCTGATGTCAGCCGTGGCTTTACTCTGCCTGGTTTTGCTGCTCCTCTGGGCCGGGAGCCGAAACATACCCGAGGCCTAGGTGTGTTAATGCTGAAGGAGTGGTCCTTCAAGGGCTTGAAGTTTTGCCCGTTGCTAGGCATCTGGGGCTCTCCATCCTGGTAACACTCTGCACCTGGTCCATCGTTCCTACTCTGCTCATGCCCATCTAGCTGCCTGCTCCAAACCTGTCTCCCTGCGACATGCTGTCATTGGCATTAGTTCTGCAAAACAATGAGAGTGACCAGCTGTGGCAGCTGTCTGCGCATGCCAAGTACTGAGCATGTCTCAAGTCTGACCTCATTTCATCCACATCACCACCCTGAGGAGTGGACACTGCTATCATCACCCTTTTGTGGAGGAGGACACTGAGGCTCAGAGAGGTTCAGCAACTTGCCCGGCATCACACAGCAAGTAAAGAGCTGAGCTGGGATTCAAGCTCAGGCATGTCCGAGTCCCGCCTCTTAACTCACATCATACCTCCTCCTATGAGAGCACATTTTTATGTAAAGACAGCAGTCATGGCCTCCTAGTTCCCCTCTTTCCACTCTAAACCTTCCTGTTCCTTCAACAGTTGCTTGTGACAGATCTGGGAATAAACATGTGGTTGTTTATGATGAAAGGGATTTCAAAACAGGCCTACTGTGTGACACCAGGAAAGGTGTCCTTCCCTGGTCAAAGAGAGAACATGGGAGGAAGTCCTTCCACTGCCATCCATCTTCCTGTCTCACATCAGTGTGTGGGCACAGCTGTGGCCCTGCCATGACCACAGGGGAGGGGAGAGGCCTGGAGAGATGTCAATGGGGTGTCCTGAGCTCACTGAGCTGATGCCCCAGAATCACCTCCTCAGACTCCCGAGGCTGAGATATCTGGATGTCTTTAGAGTGATGCTCCTCCCACCAGAACCAGAGCCCCCCAGAGGCTGGTTAGCACACAGGGTCTGGGTGACCTCCGAGGATCTGTAGGTCTGGGTGGGGGCCTGAGAACCTGCATTTCTATCAGATCCTCAGGCCATTCGATGGGGTTTCTGTTACCTGCAGCCAAAAGCATTCCAACTGGGGCAAATAGCATCACCTGAGCACGTACTTTGAGTACTTTTATCTACAGCTCCTGTAATTCAATCTTTACACGGCTATGAGGGGCCTATGATAAATTTCCTTTTTTGTTGTTGTTGTTAATCTTCACTAGAGGACATTTTCCCATTGATTTTTAGAGAGAGTGAAATTGAGGGAGAGAGAGGGGGAGGGTGGGAGGGAGGGAGAGAGAGAAACATCAATGTGAGAGAAATACACTGATTGGTTGCCTCCTGCACGTGCCCCACCAGGTCTGTGCCCTTGACCAGAAATCAAACCTGCGACCCTTGGGTGTGCAGGCCAACACTCTAACCACTGAGCCCACCAGCCAGGGCGATAAATGTCCACTTTATAGATGACCAGCCTTAGGCCCAAAGAGGCAATTGACTTGTCTGAGGTCCCACAGCTGGTAAGAGGACTCCCAGGTCTGTGCTCTCTGTTCCTGTGTCACCAAGTGATGGAGCCCCCTGTCCGTGGGTCCCTGTGGCGAGCCGGCACAGCCATGGCATACTCAGCCCCAGGGCACCTCAGTCAGGTTCAGTGACCCTGAGAGGGGGCGGTGAAGGATTGAGAAAAGACAGATAAGAGAAGAAAGCTGGGTCTGGGTGGGACGCTGCTCCCGGATGGAGAGACAGCGCCACGGACTACAAGCCGTGTCTTTATTTTATAGCCAGATTCCACCAGGCAAAGTAAGGGCGTGCTCAAGATGTTTACAACATTCTCGAGGGTTTTGATCCTACTCAACTGCATGCACCTGAACTCTATCAAGCCCATATTACTCAGGCACGTGGGGCCACGTGTTCGGACCATAGGTTCAAGCTTACAACTAGAGCTGTTGGCTATAATTGTACTGGGAGGGCTCTGCCCTCCAAGCTGGGACTTGCACGTGGCAATGAGAGGACTGTGCCTGCTCTCACTGTAGCTGCTCTCCACAGGTCCCCAAGTAGCGTGACTTGGGACCAAGGTACTGCAGCATTCAACGTGAAGTTACACAACTCTCGCGGCCTTTGCCTCACCCCAGAATTCTGCAAAAAGGAAGCACCAGCCCTGCTCCCCCCCCTCCCCGCCCCCTGCTTTCTCCAGTGGTCACGGCAACGCTTACATGCGGGAGGTTTGGGGACAGGTGCTGGTGCGCAGGGGGGTGGCACCCTGGGATATCAGACCCGGGGAAGGCTGGGAAGGCGGCAGGTTCTGAGGGAGGTGGCCGGACAGGGAGGCTCTCCAACACCCTGGGGAGCTGCCCATGGGGGGCCTTTCTGTGAACCTGGCAATGCTTTTGTCAGAAACCAGTGGTTCCCACACATGAGTCATTATTATCCAATCTCGGTGATTGTGGCAATTCATCCGCACAATTGGTTACTTAATACTGTAAAATTACCACCTAAAAAGCCTTCGCCATATTTAGAAAAAAGGAAAGCTCTCCCCCCATCAAGGAAAAAGAGCATAAAGAGAGGGCCTGTGAAAGCGAAGGTGGAGCATTGATGGCAAGAGGAGAACGGTCAGCCAGGGGCCCCAGCAGCGCTTGTGGGCTACAGTGCGTTGGAGCACGTGGGGGTACAGGGCTGCGATCCCATGAACAGGGGCTGATGGCTGTGAAGAAGGTGACTATTTGAGACTGAATTGTATCCCCCTCCCCAAGTTCACATGTTAAAGCCCTAACCCCCAATTTGACTGTATTTAAGGAGGTAGTTAAGGTTAACTGGGGTCATAAGGGTGGGGCCCTGATCCAGTAGGACTGGTGTCCTTATAAGAAGAGACAGCAGGGATGCACTCAGAGAGAAAAGGAACACAGTCAAGAAGGTGGCCGTCTACAAGCCAAGGGGAGAGGCCTCAGGGGAAACCAGCCCTGCCAGCACCCTGATCTTGAACTTCCAGCCTCCAGAACTGAGAGCAATAAAATCTGTTGTTTGAGCCCCTGAGTGGTTTGTGGTCTTTTGTTATGGCAGCCCCAGCTGATTAAGACAGTGACAGAATGAGGCTGAGCCTGTCACCACTCGCCTCTTCTCAGAGGACAGGGATCAGCATGCCAGCATCACCAGGAGCTCCCAAGGAATGCAGACTCCGGCCCCACTGCACACCTGCTGGACCAGAATCCGAATTTGGCAAGTCCCCCACCCCCTGTGATTCACACACTTTAAATGACACCTTTTCCTGCTTATCAGGTGGGGGTCTCGGAGAGCCTCTGGAAATACCGCAGTAATTAGCATCCCACCACGCTCCTTCCTGGTAGAAGCCGCGTAAGCAAAATAGGTGACAGCCTGTGAGGAGGTTTCCACAGTTGTATTTCACAAACTGTTCCGATTTCTCCATAAAAGAGACGTCACAGAAATGTTTTAGAAATCAAACCAGTTTTATTGAAACAATAGCAATGTGGTCCCTGTTCATGCAAAGCACACAAAAAATTTTTTTTTACAGTAAACGTTTGTACATAGGAAGTAGTAAAATACATCATTTTTCATAGAAAAAAAGCACACATGTAAGCTGCGGGCCGAGTGAGCCTACAGACGATATGAAATCTCAGAACACAGGGCACAGAAATCCGGAGGAAACCGAAACTTTTCATGTCGGGGGCAGGAGACCCAGAAACCCTGTTGGCCTGATTCTCCATCTTCTCATGGGTTAAGTGCTGATGGCGAAATGGGTGTAAGCAGGCACCACCTCGAAACACATAGTTAGAGGTGGTCCCTGATGACAAGGGCTTATGATTTGTGGTCTTGGTTTTCATTTTCAGAAGAAAAACGGTTCCAGTTTCGAAATGTTCGTGAGGATGGAAAAGACACAAGGTCTGGCTCTGGGCAGGCCGCTTGACCGATGGGCCCACTCACGGAGGCACTCGGGGACCTGGGAGCGTAATCTAAAGTGATGGGTCTGCTTACTCTGGAACCTCAGGTTCTGCCTCGGGCTCGAGGCTTAAGAAGCCACGGAAAGCCCCCTGGGCTGTCACTAATTCTGAAAGCTCAGCCTTGCAGGCTGGACAGAGCACAGCCACAGCCACCAAAGGCTGGTGACGGACGCGCAGGAGTCCAGGAGCAGAGCTGGTACTACCCAAAGTTTCCGAGGACTCGGGTCTTTGCAGGGAATGGACACAATACCTGACAGGCTGACCAAATTCTTTCACTCTGACACATGGGGTTGAATAGTCAGAACCTATGAATTACTACAAGCCCACAATGCACACGGCAAAAGCATGGCCCCACAAATTTCAGCTCCATGCAGCGAAGAGCTTCATTGCTTATACAAACTCACTGGAGTGGGGAGGGGAGAAGCTGTTCCCCTTCAGTTTTTGCATTAAGAATGCACTCAACGCACCAGTTGTGTTTTGTTTTTGGTCTTGTTTTTTTCCTGGTGATTCCTTTGCCTTTGAGATATTTTGATGGGGAGTGAAATCAAATTTGAAAACTGGTGCTCACAAAGGTGATCTACTGGCCAGCCTGATGCTCGAGGGTGGAATTTTACCTTCTGTAAAGAAACACTATTTACAAAAGGGTATTTTATTTCACTGTGGGTTTTGGTCTGGGCTTATGAAGAACTTTTATAAAGTGAAGGAAGCCAGAGAGCACCACACTCCTCGGAGTCTCAGGAACATTTGGCAAGAGTTGTTCCACAAAAACAGGAAGAGGAATCCTTCTAGAGTGTTACTCTCTCTTGTGGTTATTATGCCGCAGGACCATTTCATAACCACAGGCTGTTCCTCTTCCCAGGGCTGCTAACCTCGGCGAAGAAGGTATTAAGGAACCCATTCCTCCCACTGCTAAAAAATAGGTCATCTGACAGAAGTTGAATCTGCACGTTTAATTGTCACTTTTTAAAAGCAGCAACCAAACCCCTCTTCTTTGGCTGTTCTTAGATATCTCGGTGAAACCAACAGAGACTAGGAGTGTTTTTGTTTTTTTAAGTGGGCTTCAAACAGAATCGCTTGCAAAGCAAATACCCCGGTGTGAACTATGACACATAAACTAGTCTGGGCTGGTGTGTGAGCCACAATGGGTAGGGGGTAAAGAAAGGGTCCTGGTTCATTAGTCCTCAACGAGACCAAACGTCACGACAGCAGACGGCCACATGGACGAAGGGAAGGACAAAGACAAGATAAATCTCTGGAGTTACTACTGAACTCTAAATAAACCAGCACTGCTGTTTATAGAATCAGCCTGCTCGCGGCAGGACGCCAGCCAGGACAGTTGCCAGGGCAGAGCCTGAGTCTCGCTTCCCCAGCCCCCTGTTCTGGCCCATTTGTCTGACCAGCAAACATTAAACTCATTTTTCTCCATTGATCTGAACGGACTGTGTTTTCAATTTTTTTTTTAAATAACTACCTTCTACCCCATTCCTGAAACTCCCCTTGCGTGTGCTCAGCCTGCCTCCTCCTGCACCCCTGAAGGCCTCAGCCTGGGATCCCCAAGTCTGGTGCTCTCTCCACGGGTTTGGAATCCTCGCTCCCCATGAGGCTGCATGAGGAAGACGATCTTGAGTGACTGTCTGTGCAGAGGGGGCAGCAGATGGAGGCCGCCAGGCCTCGGCAGGACCAGTCGCCAGTTGCCGGCCGGGCCCCAGAGGATGCTGTTTCTCCACGGCACAGAGATGAAATGAAGGCACGAAGGATGCGACATTGAACACCACTCAAGGGAAGTTTCCTGCCACTCCATATCCCCAGCCCACCCCCAAATGATAAAATAAAAACAAGAAGCAAAACCCAGAAGCCCTCTGGAAGACCCCCTTCTCCCCAGCACTGCAAGTTCACGGCCTGACAGCAAAGATCCGGAAGGCCTTTCCATCCCGAGCCGTCTCCAAGCTGCAAAAGAAGGGGAGGGCGTGTTATCTGAGGAAGGGTGGGTTTCCACAGCGACTTGAGCGGGGAAGGAAGAGCTGGGTGTCCCGCGTGTCCCCGTGGGGGAAGGACCGTGGCCGAGGGACACCTCCCCACAGCTGCTGGAAACAGAGTCCGCCCCGGCCAGGAACAGCTGGCAAATTCCATTCTCCTTGCCTGGGTCTGAATCTAGGTCAGGGTTGTTAAGTTATTTTCTTTTAACTCTGGGACTTACTGGCCCCAGTCTGTCTGAATTGAATTCCCCCTCCAAAACTCCTGCCTGGTTTTTACTAACACCTGTCAGCCCAAATAGTGGCCATCTGGCTGACAGATTAACCGGTTGGCATTTTAACAATAATGCATGTGCTGCTGTAATTAAAATGGGCACGCCGAATGCACCCAGATTTTGTGTCGAGCTCTGTGCAAAGCACTTTGTATGCGCCTTTTTACCTTCCTCCCCTGGTAGGTACCATTATGTATCCCATTTTGCAGGCAAGGAGATTATGCAATCATCTCAAATCTTATTTTAAATCATTACAATCACCACCCCCCCACACACACAAAAGATCTTTCATGACCATTTATAATCAACTAGAAATTCGTGCAGGGTGGGGGGTCCCCTCAGCCCAGCTGGGACCCCTCGGGGGATGTCCGACTGCTGGTTTAAACTGGCAGTCGGACATCCCTCTCGCAATCCAGGACCGCTGGCTCCTAACCGCTCACCTGCCTGCCTGCCTGATTGCCCCTAACCATCCTGCCTGCCTGCCTGATCACCCCTAACTGCCTCTGCCTTGGCCCCCGCTGCCACGGCTTCTTCAGGAAGGACGTCCGGAAGGTTGTTCAGCTGTCCGGTCTAATTAGCATATTACAGCTTTTATTATTATAGATTCCCCTCCTCTCAGGACCTGGCAACTTCTCTCTCTACAGATTTGCCTATTCTGAACATTTCATGGAAATGGAATCCCACACCATGTGGTCTTTTGTGGCTGGCTTATTTCACCTAACATAACGTTTTTGAGGTTCATCAATGTTGTAGCAGAGTCGGTACTTCATTCCTTTTTATTGCCAAATAATATTCCATTATATGGATATACCACTTTTGGATATATCCATTCTTCAGTTGATAGACATTTAGATTCCACCTTTGGCTATTATAAATAATGCTGCTATGTAAGTGAAATAAGTCAGTCAGAGAAAGACAAGTATCACATGATCTCACTCATGTGGAATCTAATTAACAAAATAAACTGATTAATGGAGTGGATCCAGAGACATGGAAACGTGGAACAGAGTACGAAATCTCAGAGGGAAGGTGGAGGAGGTTGGGTGGGTGGGAGATAATCAACTAAAGACCGTGTATACATACATATATGCATAACCCATGGACCCAGACTAAAGGGTGGTGAAGGCCTTGGGGTTAAAAAAATAATAATGCTGCTATGAACATTTGTGTACAAGTGTCTATGTGGGCATTTTGTTTCAGTTCTTTTGGGTGGATATCTGGGTGCAGAGTTGCTGGGTTGTATGTTAAATGGCCTGTTCAATTTCTTAAAAAACTGCCCAGCTGTTTTCCATAGCGGCTGCACCATTGTACATTCCCACCAGCAGTCCCTGGGGGGTTCCAGTGTCTTCACACCCTCACCAGCATTTGTTACTGTCTGTCTTTCAGCCATTGCTGGTGGCTGTCTGCACATAGAGAGCTTTCTCAGGCTTTTTATTCAACTGCATAGTCTTCTGTTCTATTAAAGTATTATACTAAGGTAACAGTGTCTTTAAATAGGTATTTACTTATTTCTAATCTCTTGTTTTTGCAAACAGTGCTAAGGAGAACAACCTTGTCTGTGGCTTTTCACGTATGTAGGAGGGTGCCTGTGGACAAGCTCCTGGAGGTGAAATTGTTGGATCAAAGGATGTGGGCATTTGTAATTTGGAAAGCTCGCCAAATTGCCCTCCATAAAGATTCTACCAACTGACAACTCACGTCCACCAAGCAAATCATCTAGCTTTGTGTTCTCAGCTGATCTAAACTAGGGCATGGCATCCAAATAGTTTTAATTTGCATCTTGCTCATTATGCATGCGTTTGAGTGTAAGATGAAAGCCCAGCCATAATCCAAGCATGATTTCCTCAGAGTCCCCCCTCCAGATTGGAAACTGCTGGACTAGAGAGCTGCCCACCCCCCACCACCACCACCACCACCACCACCACCACCATGGCATCCAAATAGTTTTGATTTGCATCTTGCTCATTATGCATGCGTTTGAGTGTAAGATGAAAGCTCAGCCATGATCCAAGCATGGTTTCCTCAGAGTCCCCCTCCAGATTGGAAATTGCTGGACTAGAGAGCTGCCCGCACCACCACCACCACCACCACCACCACCTCAGGCTGTTCGCAAGGTCAGGGATCCTCAGGAACAGGCTGCTGGAATTCCTCCTTTTTTCCCCTTTCCCCGTGGCAAGTCCAGGCTTTGGCTACCCTGGGATTGAACTTTGAAATGTGGATCTGATAGGAGCCCTTGGCGAGCTGGAGCTGTGAGGGAAGGCCACGGGCCCAGAGAGAGCAGGATGCTTGGCCCCGGGGCCTGGGAGCCAGCTGTCCAGCAGACTACTCAGAGGGAGAGTGGCCACACAGGGGCTGGGTTACCCCGGCTGCCCTGCTGGTTTCTGGAGAGCTCAGATTCCAGGCCCTCCTCAGGCCGCCGGGCTGCAAGATTTCCCTGGATTCTTCGCCCAAATGAATCATCTGGGAGAACCACCCAGAGCCACAAGGCAGTTGGCTCTTCCACGTGGTGGGCAAGCCACACTGGGGAAAATGACCAGGGCGTGGGTCTCCTCTGACTCCTGATGGGGCAGGGGGTCCTCCCATTCCCAGGGCCCCAAACAATCCAGGGACCAGGGGGCCATTCAGGCTGGTGTCCAGATGGGTACCTGGTACCTGGACGTCTTGCCTGGATCTACCGAGCAGCCCCACTGAGCAACTCACCCTCCTCAGAGGCAAGAGCAGGCCCAACGAACCGGCGTGTGTTCATTAGCACATCAGACCCCGTGCTGACTGCTGGAGGGTCAGGGAGGCCACGCCCGTGCGGCCCACGCGCTGCCGCGGGCAGGGAATCCCCCTCGTTCGGGTTGCTCAGAACCTTCAGTGGGTCCATCTGTGCACACCTCAGCTATTCACTGAGCGCCAGGCCCTCCGGGTACGCTGACAGTGTGCATGTTTGAAATGAGTGTGATTTGAGAAATCATACGATAACCTATCTTCCTAAGTCTTGACCTCTGATTCTATTTTTGGATTAGCTTGTAACTCCCACACATATGTGAAGGGAGTGTAAATTGACAAAGCATTTCTTGGCAATTTTCATAAAAGGTATCGAGCAATTTTCATATAAAGGGTATTAAAAATCCCTCAATTAGTTCTGAACCAGCTGCTGACCCAGCAATTTGTCTGTCATTCGACCCATGTTGACTGATATGTGCCGGGCACTGGGTTGGGTGTTGGGGACATGGGGTTAACAAAACTAATGGGGCTCTTGCCTTCATATCATTTACAGCTGGGGGGTGGGAGATAAGCAGCTAAATGTGTGAACGCAATAGTTTCAGAGAGAGGCGGGTCCTGGGAGGAAAAAAAACCCAGGACAACGGGATCACATCAGATGGGGGAGGAGGGAAGCGGCTGGAGGCTCAGGGGTAGAAGAATGCTTCCTCAGGGAGGTGGCCTTTGTGTAGGTCCGAATGACAAGGGGGATCCAGCCGCAGGAACATATAGGAGCTGGGAGCGTCCAGGGTTGGATAAAGCACCAGCAAAGGCCCTACGGTGAGAATGATCTTGGCACATTCGAGGAGCAGAGAGAAAGCGAGTGAGGGAAGTGCTGTCCTGAGGAGGAGCAATGCGCCAAGAGAGGGTGCAGAAGCGGGCAGGCTGGCCGCAGGCGTGACCTTGCGTGGTAAGAGGCGGGAGTTTTGTTCTCCATTGCAATGGAGACCGTTGGGGTCAGGGTTTAAACAGCAGGGAGAGAGAGACACCTGTGCCTTATATAAAGAGATCCACACGTCAGCGGTGCTATTCTACCAAAAGGAAGTTACCTAAAGAAAGTGTCAATAAAGCACACGGGCTTGTGCAAAGGTGTTCTTCGCCGTGTTGTTTAATAAAAGAAAAGAGGAAGCAACACGATGTCCGCTGGCTGGGGAAATGACGGTCTGTCCACGCAAGGGAACAGTGTGTAGCCCCTGAGGCGATGGTGTGGCGACATCGAGCCTGACTTGGAACGACGTTCGCAGCCTGTGGCTGACTGAGGAGTTAACAGGACGAGACGGATAGCACGGCCCCATTTTATAAAAAAGTTAAAAACAAGGTGCTTGTGTGTAATCAGAAGAAAATGGGAGGAAACATACCAGGACGTGGAGTGGTTCCTCCTAGGTGTTGGAGTTCCAGTGACAGTAATTTCTTAAAATGAGTTGCAGTATTTTTTGAAGTTTCTCTAATCTTATTTTAAAAAGAAGGAAGGAGGGGAAAGAGAGAGAAAGGAAAAAGAAAGGAAGGAAAGGAAGGGAGGAAGGGAGGAAAGGAGGGAGGGGAAACAAATACGAAAATTCCCCCACAGAACTTGGAAGAGCCGGGTTGGCCTGGGAAGGTTTGGGCGGGGGGGGTCCCTTTGGCTGACTCAGTTCATGAGGGGCCTCTGACCTACCTGACACATGACAAGGTGCTCTGGGAAAGGTCTGCAGCCTCAGGCGGTGTCCCCGTCTCTGCCTGGTTACTGACTCCCAGCCTTCTGATGGCCATCACCCTGCCCCAGGCGCTAACATTCACCTCCTGCCAGCAGCCCTGCCCAGCACACTCACTACACAACAGGTGCTCCCTCCATCCTAAGACCTCACTTGTCATCCATTCCTTGCATTCACCCCACGGGATCTCTAAGGTTCTTCCCACTTTCTGGGGGCAACCAGGGCTCTGAGAGGTGACACAATCGGCTCCAAATGAAACACCTGTTCCAGGTGCAGCTGGGATATGGACTCAGGATGTGGGACCCCTTTCTAACCGTTACCCTAAATGGACGGGCTGTGGCCAGGCCAGCCCTGAAGATGGCATTGGCTAACCCAGATGGCAGTGGGAGCCCCTCCGAGGCGGGGCCTGCAGGTCCACAAGGAGCTGCAAAGTTAAGGCTGAGTCCTAGAACCCCCCCCCCACCCCCCGTCAGTGAGAAGATCCCCATTTGGCGCCGCACAACACAGACTGGATTAAAGAGAGAGGACAGCTGGCAGTTCTGGGAGCAGGGTGACCTGTCCTGGGAGGGCTGGAGGAGTTGTCCATGTCACTGGCGGCATATTTCCCAATCTCCTTGTGAAATCTGCCTTTAAAAATGGTCCTGGTCTAAGAAAACGTCTTGAACCAATATTCACCCAGACGCCCACTTCTTCCTCAGAATACTTGCACAAAGCCCAGTCCCAACATCAAAAGCTCTCTCTGTCGTCCTTTCCTTCCTCCGCTATCCTCCACGGGCACGTGTGTGAGAGAAGGTGCCTGTCCCCTTAGGCTGTCCTAATTCGGCACGGACACCTTTCAAAACATTCAGGAAATCCTCTTCTAGAAAAGTCATTGCCTAAACCAGGGGTGGGGAACCTTTTCCTGCCAAGGGCCATGTGGGTATTTCTAACATCACTTTCAGGCCATGCAAAATCATCAACTTAAAAATTAGCCTGCTATATTTGGTCAAACATTTGACCAACTCACCCTGAATGCCTTGGCAGGGCCAGACTAAATGAGTTCTCGGGCCTTCTACGGTCCGAGGGCCAGGCGTTCCCCACCCGTAAACCGATACCACTTTGAAGCAGGACCAGCTGTTGGCCGCGTGCTGGCAGTGCTGTTGGGGAGTTTTGTTGGTTTGAGTGATTGAAGGATTCCCTACACTTAGAACCCAGTTTGCTGGGAATGGGCTGCCGATGGCCAGGGCCCACATCTCCCTTGAGACTGACTGTGACCACTCCACGGTCCCAGCTGACGTTGGGGACAGAGCCACCCCCTGGCCCAGATTGATCCCCACAGTCCCTAAGGGGAACAGGCTCTGGGGAAATTCCTCAGCCCTGGGCTCTGTGCAGGGGTTGCTGAGGCCCCATATGAACAAGAGGGAGATGGGGCAGGGCCACCCTGGAGACATCCAGCATCTGCTGCAGCCACATCACCGAGCAGGCACCTCTGGACAGTAAGTCGGGGTCCTGCTTGACACACTGAGCTCCCTGCACCTCCTTCTATAGCAGAACCACCCAGTGCCCTGCTACTACCGTATTTCCACGTGTGTCCCCCGACTAGACTGTAAGTCCCACGAGGGCAGAGGGCAGGCGGGTTCCCTGCTGGTCCTGGTACCTGGACACTAAGGCTCAGCCCACGTAAGACGTCTGATGTGAGTGCATGTTGGGAGGGTGGATGCAAGAGGAAAGATTGCATTCCTTAACAAGCCTCTTCCTTGTCCTGAAAGGTAATCTATCTAAGGCTGTTTCTCAAGTTGATTGGCACCATGTTAAGAGCCACAGCATCTGGAGGTTCGCAGCAGACCTTAGAAGGAATGCCACAGGAAGAAGGGCCACCAGTTTCATCGGACACTCACTATGAGCCACCAGTAAGCGCTTTGCACACACCGTCTCATTCATCGTCACAGCAACCTTTCCATGCGGCGGGACCGCGGCTGGGGGAGGCTGCCTACCCAAGGACACACGGTGCAGCAGGTCCCAAACGCCATCGGCCCCACGTGCCCTCTGGCCTAGCCTCTTCCCTCCGTACGTGCAGGGTGGACCCTGTCATCTCGGTGCCATGGACCCCAGCGCAGGTCCTGGCTCACCGTGTGTAGTAAATGAGTGACTCTTAATGGCAAAATGTCAGAATCATGTCCAGTGTTGGCTACGTGTGCCGGGGACGCGGCCCCCTTCCATCCCCCTCACAGTAGCGGTCGTCGCCCTCCAGTGTGCCAGCCGAGCCCCTCCTGGAGTTTCTGACTCAGGTCTGAGGCGGACCGAGGATCTGCTCTTCTAACCAGCACCTGGTTGACTGGGACGCTGCCGGCCTGGGGAGCCCACGATGAGTTCCCCACCTCACCTCCACTCAGGGGGCGGGAGCTATCATTTCCCCCTTTACAGGGGAGGAAACCGAGGCCCAGAGAGCGGAGTAACCTGCGCAAACACCATCACAGATCCCAGCCTGTAGGATGTGGGGTGTGGGGCAGGGAGGAGTCCAGGGAAGAGGGGAGCAGAGTCCCCGCTAGGGGGGCGCTATGGAAGCTCACTAACACTTTCTGAAAGTCACTAACACCTTCTGAACAGTGCAGCGGGCTTCAGCCACGCGGGGCCTGGGCAAGGCTGCCTGGCAGATGCTCATAATAACAGTGGCCATTCAGTTGGGTCCCTGGGGAGAGAGAACGAATGATGGGCCTCATGGGGAGGGGGCGTCACAGTGAACAAGAAGCCCATTCTGGGACCCCGTCTTGGCCCCCTGCCCTCCCCAGACACCCGCCTTTTGGAGGCCACACAATAAGCCCTTTTGCAGCCCTGGGAGCTGCTGTGATGTCCTCAGGATAGTACAGTCAGAGGACAGAGGCCAACCCACCACGCGGCTTCTCTTAAAGAGCTCAGTAGATTGGTGCGCTGGGATTTCTCCCCGGCCTGGCCAGGAAATTCCACCTCATCAGCTGCTTCATTTCCCTCCCGTTAAATCAATGGAATTTCCCTTCATTAAGCTCTTCCCAAACAAAGGTTGCAAATGCTGAGGGAGAAATTGCATGAGCAGTTAGCTGTGGCTTCCGGGCTGAGGGCAGTGACTGTGCAGGGGCCCCTGGGAAGCAGCGTGTGCGATTCCCGTCACAGGATTCCGCCAGGTCTTCACACACAGCACCGCCCGGAGGCTGAGCGCGCTCCGGGAGGAGGGGAGGGGGGGACAGGATGATGGAGCCACGAGACCTTCAGGTTCAAGGGGCCTTAGCGCATCTTGTGTTCTTGACTTTATACACCTTTTCTAAAGAGGGCCCTCAAGTGTAAAGTCTTCAGCATTCCCTGTGTTTGGGCTGAACTGAGCCCCCTCCCCAGTTCACATCCTGAAGCCCCGACCCCAGCACCCTCAGAATGGGACTGTACTTGGACATGGGGCCGCTAAAGATGTACTTAAATTAAAGTGAGGTCACTGCGGCAGGTCCTGCCCCAGTACGACCGGTGGGCTTCTAAAAAGAGCTGGGCATCATCTCAGGGAATCCCCCCTCCACCCTGAGAGGTAGAGACTACTGTTATCCCCCTATCACAGATGAGAAAACTGAGGCTCAAAGAAATCAGGCGGCTGTTCAAGGTCACAAAGCTGGTAAGAAGCAGAGCCTCCAGACTCTCCGCTCTCATTTATGTAACAATATGTAAGTACATTATTATGGAGCTATATCTAACCACTATCTAGTCTAGATATATAAAAGCCCAGCAACCATTATGGTAGAACAACCAGAACAACTGGTCACTATGACACACACTGACCACCAGGGGGCAGATGCTCAATGCAGGAGCTGCCCCGTGGTGGTCAGTGCACTCCCACAAGGAGAGTGCTGCTCAGCCAGAAGCCAGGCTCACAGCTGGCAAGCGCAGCAGCAGTGGCAGGAGCCTCTCCCGCCTCCGATGCAGTGCTAAGGAGCAGCAAGCCTGGCTTCTCAGGGATTGGGCCTAAGCTGGCAGGCAGACATCCCCTGAGGGGTCCCGGACTGCAAGAGGGTGTAGGCCGGGCTGAGGGACTCCCCCCCACACCGCACCAAGTGCATGAATTTCATGCACCAGGCCTCTAGTGTAACTATAATTTGATCCCACTGTTTGTGGGGGTAGGGGGAGACAGGCACACGTGCACATATAGAAAAGGGACCATAGGCACAGGCACCAAACATCTAACAGCAACTCCCCCAGGTGATGGGTGATGGACGGCTGTTTTCCTATGTACTCCTCTGATGTTTCTAAATTTTCTAAAAAATTGTGCATTGGTAATAGAAAGAGACAAGCTCTTGCTTTGAAAAGAGAAAGGAAGAGGAAAGTACAGGCTTCTCGGGGTGTTCTGGTAAGAACGAATGCAAGTCTGCCCGAGTTTCATCTTAACAGGCACCATCCTGGGCCCTCTGCCGGGCCCCCCAGGGGCACCCCTGCCGGCCTTGGGTGTGGAGAGTCGAGGAGCATAATCCTACCTTTCAGACTGAACCCCGTTCCTGAGTGAGCCCACGTACGTCTTCTTTTTATCGACGGGCATCACGTCCACGTAGCCCCCGCTGTCGTTCCTGATGACTCCCGCGTGCACAGCCGTCTTACAGATGCTCGAGGTCTGAAAGCACAGGAAGAGCTGTGGTCAATGTCGAGGGTCAGGCTCTGGGGTGAAGGTCAGCCTCCTGCTGGGAGTCAGCCTCCTGCTTGGTGGCCATGCCAACCTTGAGGAAAGGACCGTCACTGCCTTGATTCCTCAGTGGTCTCTCCAGAGAGACCCGACATCATTCATTTGTTCGTTCATTCATTCATTTGTTCAACAAAAATGTTCTGAGCACCCACCATGTGCTGTGCACTGTCCTAGATGCAGGGGGGTTCCACAGGGAACAAAACGAAGACCTTGCCTTCACAGAGTGAAGGGAGACAAGTAAACAAATACAAAAACAAGTAACTCGGGCTATGAACAAATAAAACCAGATCGTGAGATAAAATGACTAAGGACAGTTAATCAGGGAAGACTGTTCTTGATGGGCCATTTGCACTTAGACCTGAGTGACGAAAAGGAACCAGCCACAGCCATGGGAGCATCTCTGGGCAGCAGAGCATCCCAGGCAGAGGAAGCAGCTTGTGCAAAGACCCTGGGGCCCTGTCCCAGGATCAAAAAGAGGACTGGGGGCTGAGTCAGGCAGAGTGTGGCAGGAGAGGTGGGAGAGGGGAGCAGGGGCCAGTCACGTGGGGCTGTGAGGACCACAGCGGGAGTCTGGATTTATTCTAGGTGCCAGGGGAGCCGCTGGCTTTCAAGCAGGGGCAGGGTGTGCTGTTTTCTATAGTCATCACGTAGTCCAATTCCTGGGTAATGAAACCCTCGAGTAAAACGTTCATTAGGGCCTTGACTTATCCAATAGAAAAGTGGGCTGGGTTGTCTGAGAGTCATGAATCAGCATTTCTCAAATTCGTTCAGGGGTGGAGTGGCTGGCATTGGCTGAAGATGCCGGCTGCTGGGCCGCACCCTGACCTATGGATGCAGAGTCTCCCCAGACAAGGGCTGGTGGTCCTGATGCACACTCAAGGCTAAGAACCTGGTAGGTAGCACCTCATGCCTCTTCTATGATCCTCCCAATGGCCTGTGCTAAAGCCCCACACTAGCCGTGGCAGCGGGTCCCCATCTTCACAGCAACTCAGAGCATCTTTTCCGGGTGACAATGCCTGGACCCCTCCCCTCCCAACCCCACCAGTTCAGTTGCTCTGGGATGAAGCTCAAGACTCAGTGTGTGAACATGAGTGAACTTTTGGAAAGAGGGGGATACTTGTTGGTAGAAAACAGAGTCGCCTGGAGAATGGCCCCAGTGGCATCTAATGATACACTCAACCAGGCTGATGGAGCCGGCTGCTCAGTCTAGCTCAGCCATCTGCCGACTTAAAGATAAAAAGTCAGACCCGACACCACTGGGCAGGAAGACCGACTCCAGGCCTGCCCTCATTCACGGCCGAGTGACCTGTGGCCCCCACAGGGGCTCGGCCCGTGGCCTGTGGACTCCGTGGGGGCGGGGGTGGACAGGGTAGATGGGGCCAGGTTAGCTGTGCCTTAGTCCATCCTGTGGGTGCATGGAGTGCGGGACACAGGCCCCTGCCAACCTGTCCTAGCGGGAAAACGTGAACATGCCACGCAGGCTCCCTCAGCAGGAGGCGGGCCTGGGCTTTGTGGTGGCTCCATGCCGCCCGCTGCACAGTACGGGGGACCAGTCATCACTGTGGGGCGACTGAGGTCCCAACCGCTGGTTAACCAACCAGCACCTCCTTCACAAAGAGAGCAAGAGAGGGAAGAAGACAAGTACATTCCACGTGCAGGGGGTACCGGAAGGAGTCAACTTCACAGACAGGGAAAGGAGAGCGGGCGGCTCCCAGGGGCTGGGGGAGGGGGAGGGGAGGGGGAGGGGAGGTGCTGGTCAAGGGACACAGCGTTTCAGATTTGCAAGATGAAAAACTGGAGATCAAGTGCCGGACAATGTGCATATAGTCAACACTGCCAACTGCACACTTATACATGGTTAAGAGGGAAAATTACACGTTATGTATAGTTTCCCACAATAAGAGAAAGAAAAAGGAAGAGCGGAGGAGA